AGCCCAGGAGTTTGAGGTTGCTGTGAGCTAGGCTGACGCCATGGCACTCACTCTAGCCCGGGCAACAGAGTGAGACTCTGTCTCAAAAAAAAAACAAAAAAAAACCCCAGGGAGGACTGGCAACTCTGGAAACTCCAGTCCTCTGTAAAATGACATTACGAGTAGCTTGGTGGGGCCTCGGAATGGGATAGATCTGGCTTCTCCTCCAACTCTGCTACTATCAGGTCAGCTGTGGGGCCACAGGCAAGGCTGTCTCAAGGCCTATCTCTCATCTACAGAATGGGGACAATGGACAGGACAGACAGTGACGACTTTCAGCCCCATGATAACAAGCTATTTAGACCCACTCCAGTTCCAGAGGAAGCCAACCTCAGCAACAGGTCTCAGTCATTTGGGATCAGCACTGGGGGTGTGGTGCTGAGCTCTGAAGCCTGGAGCCCTTGGGAGGGTGATTTAGAAGAGGGAAAGGGGGGTTCTTACAGGATTGGGGACCCAGACAATCGGGAGTCCTAAGAGGAGCAGAAGTTCTTAACAGGTTAAGGGACGCTGTCTGGTTTAGGGATCCCTGCAAGGTAAGGTCTTTATTCACACTAATAATATTGGGGACCCAGACAGAAGTGAGGATCCCTGGCAGAACTGGGGGGAGGGCGTGACAGAAATAGCGGTGCTGACAAAATGGGGGGCTTGAAGACCCCAGGGCACTTACAGGACTGCAAGAACCACGGCGGGATTGGGAAGCTGGGCAAGACTGGGAAACCCTGGCGGCAAGAAACATATATAATTGGGGGCCCAGAAGGATTGGGAGTGTCCTGGAAGGACTGAGGGGTCTTGGCAGGCCTAGGAGGCACTGAGAGGACTAGAGAGCACTGACAGAATTCGAGGCCTTGAAAAGACTGGAGGGACCTGGAAGTCCTGGGGACAATGACAGGATCGGGGAGGCTCTAGCAGGGCACGGAAGGCACTGACAGAATTGGGGAGCGCTGACAGAATTGGTGTTGCCGAAGGACTGGGGGCCCTTAGAGGCCCGTCATCCCTCCCACCTCAGGGTCTGGGCCTCCAACGCTACAGGACGCAGAAGCTTAGGAGTGTCCGCTCAGGCCCTGGGGATCCTGACTAGGGCGAGAAAAGGCCACCACAGGCCCGGTCTGGGGACTCCAGTCCCGGCCTCTCCAACCGCCCCGCCCCCCAAAACTCACCTGACGGCCGCCCCCGTCCGCAGGAAGCGCTGGATGGCCCTGTCGGCCGCGGTCATGGCCGCCTGAGCCCGGGAGCTCAGCATTGCGGTGGCGCCGGAGGCCCGCCGTCGCCCCCGCCGCTGCTGCCGCCGCTGGACGGAGGGTTCAGAGGGCTCCCACGGCGGCGGAACCCGCGGTCACAGTCCCAGCTCCTTAGGGGAAGGTAGGCCGAAGGACGGCCTCCCAGGAGGACCGGAAGTAGCTGCCGCCGGAGGGCAATAGTCGGCGGACCACGTCCTTGTTCTTTCTTTCCCCTTAGCAACGGGCGCCAGCGTCGGTTGTTAAGGGAGGCTCAGCGACCCGGGGCCATTTCGTTTTCACGTTTTGCCCAGGTTCCATCCACCAAATCAAATGCTCCGCTTCCATGAAGGCACCCGGGGTCATGATTTGAATTTTTCAGTGTGGAGAGGGAAAGCGGTGTCAGGTCTCTGCTACCATTAGTTATTCCAGTCGTCAAAGTGGAAATAGGTCGCAGAGGAAGGGCCTTTAATTAGCATATGGCCCATCTCTGACTGTATCAGTACAGAAACCAAGGTCTTTCGTGGTAACAGCCACCAAACTTATTGTTAATCTAGGTACCTGGTACATTGCTAAGTAGGTCACATGCATTATTCACATTTAATATTCACACCAACCCTAACGTTACCCACATTTTACATACCAGAAAACCCAAGAAATTTACAGAACTCTTTTGACACAGCTTGTAAGTGGTGGAATTGAAATTGGCAGTCAAGTCGCGTGTCTCCAGAGTATCGCTGTCCAATAGAAATATTCATATAACAGGAGCCACCTAGGTAATTTTAAATTTTCTAGTGGCCACATTGAAATAAAAAGCAAGAGGGGAAATTAATTTTAACAATATATTTTAGATGACCCAACATATTCAAAATATTGTCGTTTCTACCTAAAAATTATTGATGAGATCATTTACTTTTTTTTTTTTTTTAACTAAGTACATCTCAGTGTGGCGCCATCATAGCTCACTGCAGTCTCCAATTCCTGGGCTCACGTAATCCTCCTACCACAGCCTCTCAAAGCACTGGGATTGCAGATCTGAGCCCCCGCACCCAGCAAGACTACCCACTTTTTATGTTCTCAATAGCTACAACGTGGCCACCACGTTGGACAGCACAGTTTATAAAGCATTAGGGCCGGAGAGATTTTGCTGGCCCTTTTAATCACTTTCCTCAACTCCAGACCAAATAATTGCAACTGCTTTAGTAAAGAAAGCAATGTGTTAGCTCAGTGATTCTCTAAACTTTTGGTCTCAGATCTCTTCGTGTGCCTAAAAATTGTTGAGAGCGTTTGTTTATATGGGTTATATCAAACTGTGTTTATACTATTAGAAATTAAAATTGAGACATAATTTTTGCTTTTTAAAAATTGAGGTATACCGGCATACCCATTTTATTGCACTTTGTAGATACTGCATTTATTAATTTATTTATTTTTACAAATTGAAGGTTTGTGGCAACCCTGACTGGAGCAAGTCTGTGTGCCATTTTTATAACTAATAGTTTTTTTGGTGAAATCTTTAGGGTTTTCTGCATATGAAATCATGTCACCTGCGAACAGAGATAATTTTACTTCTTTCTTTCCAGTTGGCATCGCTTTTATTTCTTTTTCTTGCCTAATTGGTTTGGATAGAACTTCCAGTACTATGTTTCTAAAATATGCTGTATTCCTGAAATATTTAGGAATTAACTTAACCAAGAAGGTGAAGGACTTGTACAATAGACGTTGTGAAAGTGAGCATCCTTGTCTTATTCCTTATCTTAGAGAAAAAGCTTTCAGGTTTTCACCATTGAGTATCATGTTCTGCAGCATTGTTCTTAATAGTAAAATGTTGGAAGCAATCTAAATACCCAGAAAAATTAGATTATACCCACACAGCGGAGTAATCTGTAGCTATGAAAATAATGAGCCAGCTCTTTGTGTACTGTTAAGTAAGATTCTCAAATGTATTGTTGAGAGAAAACAGTAAGCACAGAACAATGGGAAAAGAATGCTATCATTTATGTGAGAGAATAAAAGATTAAGTGTTGATAATTATAGAGATAAACAAGAACTGAGAACACTATTTGCCTCTGATAAGGGAACTGTGTGATTGAGGATGGGGAAGGACATCCTTTCATCCTTAGTGAATTTTGTACCACCCGCATGCATTATTTAGTCAAAAAATAATTTAAAATTTAAAACTCGAAAAACCTAAGGGGAACACAGCACCAAAATTGACATTCCTTTTGGTCAAAAAATGCCACCTAACAGGATAAATATGTTCTTAAATTCATTCAAAAAATAACTATATACAAGTGTCCATGTACAGGAAAATGACTGGAAAGATATACCCCTGAAGTGATAACTCTGGTTTTCTATCTCTGGTGATATTATCGATGGTGATTTTTATTTTCTGTCAAATGCTTTTCTGTATTATCTGCGTTTCTACAATGATCATTTATTTTTTATAATTAAACAAACAATTTTTAAGAGAAAACTCTAAGTTTGTCTTGTCTTATGCAGCAGTTCTGAATTGTCACAACTTTTGTAACTCAAATTTCTTTTTCTGGTTGCTTTCCAACTGACAGAGGAATTGTATTATAAAACCCTGCTTTTAAGCTTTTCTTACCTAAAGGAAACCAGATATGAAGTACTAAAGGAAAGAATGAAAACAATGTCTCACCAAAGAAAGAATATTAATAAAGAGATAGAAATTATTAAAAGGAATCAAGTAGAAACTCTGGAGTCAAAAAGTAGAATGACTGCAATGAAAATTTCACTAGAGGGTTCAACAGCAAATTTGAGCAGGCAAAGAAAGAAGAATTGATGAACATGAAGACAGGTCAATTGAGATTATCCAGCCTGAGGAACAGAAAGAAAAAGGAATGAAAGAAAATAGGCAGAGGCTTAGAGGCCAATAGGACACCATCAAGCATAACAACTTATGCATAATAGGAATCCCAGAGGAGAGGAGAAAGAGAAAAGGGAAGAAAAAATATTTGAAGAATGCCCCAAACTTCCAAAATGTCATGGAAAACAATCTGTACAGAAGCTGAATGAACTCCAAAGGAGGATAAATTCAAAGAAATCCATACCTAGACATATTCTAATTAAACAGAAAACCAAAGACAAAGAGAATTTTGAAAGCAGAGAGAAGCAACTCTCACAGAAAAGGAATCCTTATTAAGATTAAAAGTTGATTTCTCATCAGAAACCATGGAGGTCAGAAGGTTAAATAGGATGGCATATTCAAAGTTCTAAAAGAAAAAAATTTATCAACTAAGAATTCTATATCTGACAAAATTATCCTTCAAAAATAAAGGAGAAATTTAGACATTCTAATATTTAAAAAAATAAAACTGAGAGATTTGTCAGTAGCAGACTTGCCCTATAAGAAATACTAAAGGGAATCCTTCAGGCTGAGATGAAAGAGCACTAGACAGCAATTCGAACCTATGTGAGGCAATAAAAAGCATCAATACAGGTGGCTACAGAGGTAAATATAAAAGATGATAAAAATGTATTTTTTGTTTGTCGTTCCTTTTTTGTTTCCTATCTGATTTAAAAAACAACTGCCTAAAGCAATAATTATAAATTTATGTTAATGGACACACGATGCATAAAGATGTAATTTTTGGTAATAGCAGCTTAAGGGGGTACGGAGATACATATGGGCAAAGTTTTTGTATACTATTGAAATTAAGATGGTATTAATCCAAACTAAATTGTTATAAACTGAGATGTTAATGATAATCTCCAGGGCAACCACTAAGAAAATAACTCAAAAATATATAGTGAAGGAAATACAAGAGAAATAAAATGGTACACTAAAAATATATATTTAATGCAAAAGAAGACAGTAATGGAGTAATTAAGGAAAAAAAGACATAAGATGTATTAAAAACAAATAGTAAAATGTAAATCCTACATTATCAGTGATTACATTAAATTTTTTTTTTAATTTCAGCATATTATGGGGGTACAGATGTTTAGGTTACGTATGTTGCCCTTGCCCCCCCAAGTCTGAGTTTCAAATATGTCCATCCTTCAGGTGGTGTGCATTGCACTCTTTGTGTATGCATATACCCGTCCCCTCCTCCCTCCTCCCCCTCCCCCTACCCTCTGCCCAACATCCAATAGATGTTATTCTTATATGTGCACTTATGTGTTGATCAGTTAATACCAATTTGATGGTGAGTACATGTGGTGCTTGTCTTTCCATTCTTGGGGTACCTCACTTAGTAGAATGCGTTCCAGCTCTATCCAGGAGTATACAAGAGGTGCGATATCATCATTGTTTCTTAAAGCTGAATAGTACTCCATGGTATACATATACCACATTTTATTAATCCACTCGTGTATTGATGGACACTTGGGTTGTTTCCACATCTTTGCAATTGTGAATTGTGCTGCTATAAACATTCGGGTGCAGGTGTCTTTCTTATACAGTATCATTTGCTCTTTTGGGAAGATGCCCAGTAATGGGATTGCTGGATTGAATGGTACTTATACTTGTATCTCTTTAAGGTATCTCCATATTGCTTTCCACAGAGGTTGCACTAGTTTGCAGTCCCACCAGCAGTGCATGAGTGTTCCTATCTCTCCGCACCCATGCCAACTGATTACATTAAATTTAAATGCATTAAACTCTCCAATTAAAAGTCAGAGATTGGCAGACTGGATAAATCAACACAATCCAACTATGTACTGTCTACAAGAGTATCATTTTAGAGTCACAGACACAAATAGGTTGAAAGTAAAGGTGTGGAAAAAGTTACATCATGCAAACAGCAACCAAAAGAGAGCTGAAATGATATAGTAATATCAAACAAAATAGATTTTAAGACAAAAATTGTTACTAGAGACAAAAAAGAACATTTTATAATAATAAATGGGCCAATCCATCAAGAAGATATAACAATTGTAATAAAAAAAATGAACTTAAAAACAGAGCCCCAAAATATGGTGAAGAAAAAAAAGGACAGAATTGAAGGGAGAAATAGACAATTCAACACTAATAGTTGGAGACTTCAGTATCCCGCTTTAATAATAGAAAAACTAGATGGAAGATCAGTAAGGGAATAGCAGACTTGACCAGCACTATAAAACAACTATTTCCAACAGACATTTACAGAACACAACACTTAACG